TAGAAGTACTGTACAATGATGTACTTCCTTGCATGCTCCTTAATACTTCACTCCATTTCAGAAGCAAATATTTTACTCTGAACCTCATTGATTTGATAACATGAGTTACTTTGAAGATTTAGATTCTGTTACAAAGTACAATAATATAAACAGACAATGAATCACGAATGATTATGGTGAAGAACTGAAATGATCCATTGATTTTATTCACAACCTACCCAAAAGTATGGTAAAATAATAAATAAGCTCCAACTTTACATTTATGCATGTTCTGACATACAAGGGATTGAACGGGATTCGAAACCGCGCTCGCAGGGTGTATTTCGGCTACTTCACGGTTATCAAACATAGACTAACGCGCTATGTCTTTGGCTCAGTGGGTAGTGTGCTGGACTTCGAATTAGGGGGTAGCAAGTTTGAGTCCCACTGCAGTCAGCATGTCGTTGCGTCCCTGGGCAAGACACTTCACCTCAAATTGCTCCTATTGTCCACAGTACTGAATGTATGTAAGTCGCTTTGGATAAAAGCGTCTAACAAGTGTCATGTAATGTAATGTGCTTTTATAAGACATGAGATAAACAGGGCAACTGTGACCGGTTGCTTGCCAAATAGTGAGCCCACATTTATCTGTACTGCTAAGTCTTATATTGGCTACTTAGCTTACTTCGTCTTCTTCATCAGCCAGCATCCTTGGTATCTGTTGCTCACTGAGTTGATTCTCGCTAAGTAGCCAATATAAGGCTTAGTCATCTTGCCAAATAGTGAGCCTGTGTTGATATATGAAAACTATGTTAGAACTGGGTTATAAATGGTTCTTAATAGGGTTTACAACCTAATTCATGACCTAATTATAAACCCTTTATGAATCCTTTATAAGGGTAGTCTTATTGTAAAGTGGTACCAATAAATCTTAGATTTCAGTTTTTTGCAACACTGCTTTAAAAATATTTATCTTAAGGAAAATAAAATACACATTTTCGAACCTGCCACATCCAGACACCATGCTAGATAGTCAGCTGATCCAAAAATAAATGTTGTTTTTTTTGTGGACCAGATGTGTTGGATGCTCATTAGAGTCACCACAGCAGGCAGGACAAGATTTCAGAGACAGTTCCTCCCTGTCAGCTGGCGGCCTCTGTGTCTCTCTTTACTGTGAGAAAAGTGGCTCTGAAGTTGTGTCTGTGTGTGCAGCATGCATCAGTAGATTTGTGGAAATGTGTTTACACATATATAACGAAGTATAAGCTGTTGGATGGATTGTAGTGATATAGAGATTTGTGGTCCCCAGAGGATGGTCTTGTAAACCTCAAGTGTCGCTAGCAGGTTGACATTTTCTTTATTTCTTTATTGAAATTTCTCAACAATCATTAGATGGATTGCTCTAAAAGTAACTAAAAATGTCCATAGTGACCAGAGGATAAACCTCAATGACTTTGACGATCCCCTGACTTTTCGTCCATCCTGTTTTTAACGTGACTCTAGTGCAAAATGCCAGGTCCATAATGCAATGGATTTTCAAATTTGGTATGGAAGAACGTCATTAGAACCCCAACCTTAACACCTTCACACATCTTTGGGTAAAACGTGAACGCTCACAGGCTCACCAAACATCAGTAGCTCACTTACATTCAGGTTGTCATCCATTAGAAAGAAGCTTTTATAGCAGCTTTTTAATCTCGTGTACGTAAATAGTATGTGTAATTTTCAAATACAGGCGTAATGTTCACATCTGTAGTGTTGGTAGAACTATAAAATCACTTTGTCCATGCACAGTGTTACCTTCTATACCATACATCAACATATAGTTTCCGATTTGTCAAACTGCTGCTTAGCTTGAGGTAGTTTCCAGTCTCCTCAGAGTCTGTAGACGCAGGCTCTACCTGTTTCCGCCTCCTCTGGGCTCTGAATATCACTCAAGCCATTTTCTATTTCTTGTCGTGTAATAGTGAGTGTCAAGGATCTATGTGGATGTATTGATTTTATGACACAGTGTGGAGAGGTGTTGCTGTGAGATTAAGGAGAGAGGAAAGAAGGTGCTGCTCATAGAACGGGAAGGAGAGGGAGTCTATTTGTGAAGATGAGGATTAATGAGCATTTTTCTCCTGTAACCCACGTTTCACGGTTGCACAGGAGTCATTTTGGGTGTCTGTAGCAAAATGGATGCAGGTAGCAAAATGAACTAGAAGACAAACAAACTGCTCCTTCACCACGGGGGCTGTGATTCTGATGAGGATTGATTGTGTGTGTGTTGCGCAGTCGCCGCCTCTGAGTGATTGCTGCTTGGTTTTCACGTGTAGCGTCTGGCTGAACACAGATGAATGAGGTTTATTGTTTCCTCTTCTCTAAGGTACACTGAACCACTGATCCAGGATCCGGGTCTGGAATGGAGCATTGCAAAGCTCGTGGGATTTATTTTATGTCTTAGCCCCCTAACACTTACAGTATACTTACAACTCTGTTAGGATTCAAAGAATTACAGCTCACTGGCCTGTTGATTAAAGTGTGTGTGTGTGTGTGTGTGTGTGTGTGTGTGTGTGTGTGTGTGTGTGTGTGTGTGTGTGTGTGTGTGTGTGTGTGTGTGTGTGTGTGTGTGTGTGTGTGTGTGTGTGTGTGTGTGTGTGTGTGTGTGTGTGTGTGTGTGTGTGTGTGTGTGTGTGTGTGTGTGTGTGTGTGTGTGTGTGTGTGTGTGTGTGTGTGTGTGTGTGTGTGTGTGTGTGTGTGTGTGTGTGTGTGTGTGTGTGTGTGTGTGTGTGTGTGTGTGTGTGTGTGTGTGTGTGTGTGTGTGTGTGTGTGTTGATTCAGCTTAGTGGTGCTCAGTTTTGTATCATTTAGGGATCATTAGTTTGATCAAGGTAAAATCAAAGATGGATGATTAGCAATTTATAATTGTGTGCTGACTCACATGTTAAAGGACCATGTTTATGACATTGATTCAGATAAATGGCTGTTTTAAGTTTAGGTAAACCAAATTTTATAGAAACATACATTCAAACCTATTTCAGATGTCATGCTTTAAAACATTTTGGTGTGGATTTTAACTAATAGTTGAATCACACAATTTCAATATTAGAATTTGGCCCTTTTAGTATTTGTCCGCAATAAGATCACATTGAGATAAATGACGCTTAATGATTATGTTAGATAAGTGTGCAGCCTTAAGTAAAAGCCATTTTCCTTATTGATTTCCTTTATTAAATCAGTCGCTCTCACAGAAAAGGGGGGCGCAGACAAAGAGAACACGGTGAGTCAGATGCTTTTAAGGCTTGAGCAAACTGAGACGTCGCTTATGCAAAAGGTCACGACTACTATCAGGAATACTGTTATGTTCATTTAGTGTGCATAGAAACTTTGGGTATTTCATTTGAATTGCACTGCCATCTACTTATAGTCCTTTAGTGTGTGTCCTGGGTTAAATATATGTTTTTATCTTAAGTGGAGGCTTGACTTTGAGGTGTCACAGGGATAAAGGTTGTGTTGACAACAGTGACGAGTGCAAAACTGCAGAGCTAAATCGCTCACATGCATGTTTAAACTGTAAGAAAGAACACTGCCTCACTAACAGATTTGTAAGACTTAATTTCCTTAAAACAAAGAACATTTCTGCCAGTAGTCTTAGTATGAGAAACGTCTTGAGTGATCTCATAACTCCAAACAAGAAACAAGATAAGATGGATAATTACATTTAAAAAATGTTTTGAAACTTGTTGATTTTACGTGAATTTATGTTATTCTCCTGTTTAAAGAAATAGGATTTTAGGACTCAATTATCGCCAAACGACTGGTTCAAGCTCTGAGTCATAGTAACACAAGAGACATTAAATTCCCCACAGAGAGTTGGAGGAAAGCAGCACATGAATGCACCAGTGTATCTGGATTCTCTACAAACAAAAACATATGCCATGAAAATAGTTGGAAGGATGCTATAATCACTTTAATATTCTTCACGAAGAGGCTTTGCTTAGGGTATTGTTTGTAATCGAATGGGAACTCTTGACTGGGAAGTCTTTTAAAAGCATCTGAGCTACTATTCTTTTCTTCATAAAACATCTCAACTGGTATTTCCCCAAAACAGATAGACAACCACTTCCTGTTGAAACCACTTCTCTTTGTGCCAGATTTAGACTGTTTATGGGACAGAAAAGGCATTTCAGTTTGTGACCATTCATGGGTTTTTGAATGTCTCGTGTTCTGACTAACACAAATACACATTATGTACTGTAACATTTTCCTCATAATGTTTGTTTTGTTTTGGGGGAGGCCTGTCTTTATGTTTGTGTGTAACCACCCGACGTCTGTGTGTATCCCTTGCCCAGTGCTTGTGTGCATGTATCATCGAGTTAATGGAGGGTCTTGGCCTGGGTAATGGAGCCCCTCCCTGCAGCCTGAGCAGATAATTAAATTAACGTCAGCCCTCTTTACATTCTCCCTCCCGGCCTCGTGACTCATCGTGTTGTGATTCGGCCTCGCGTTTGGACACTTGTCCTCATCCACTCAACTCATCCACTGTGCGGGTTTCAGGCTGAACTCTTACACACGCTTATTCATTCACTTCTGATTTCTTTCTTTTAGTGTATTTTCAATCTAGACATACGATCATTTGAGAGGCAGATACATTCTCTCACACAACCCTTTCCTCTCCTCTCAAACAGCACAGGCGCTGTGTAGTTTAGCCGTGGTAGGAACAGTTGATTTATCTTTGCTCTACTCGTTACTCTTCCTCCATCAGCTAAGACGCTTTTAATGTTTATGGAGGGAAAGCCATTTGTGGAGTCTCTGTAATGATCCATAACGTAATGGCACAATTCATAAAGGGGATGGGGAACTGAATCAGGCTTTCTTAGGCTGCAGCCAGGCAGGCATGGTATGATACGTTTAGGCAATATGTCAACAAAGCTTCCTTTTCCTGCTTGGGCATTCGTTTCTTGTTCACATTAAAGTTGATTTATACCAAATCTTTGTGTTCCATATATTAACAAACGATGATTCTCTGTGTTTTCCAG